GATAATTCTAATAATATAATAATAATTATTATTATAATATAATATATTATATATTAATATATATATAAATCCCACGCACCCTCTCTCTCCCTCTCGCCTCCCGTTCTCGCGAATCGCCGCCCCCTCTCCCGTTCTCGAAAACCGCTCGTCCCTGCTCCGAACCCGCCGGCCGGCGGTCCTTGCCGGCGACCACCCCGCTTAGGCCTCATCTCCTCGTGTTAGTGGGCCTTCTCCTCTTCTTCCCTTCGGCCAAGACTCTCTCCTCGCGACCTAGGGCACACTGACGGCACCAAGGTTATTCTCGGCCAGCAACGCTGCCGGCGAGCCTCGTCGGCCTCCCCTTAGCCGCCTACTTTGCCACCGTGATCTCTGACGCCGGCGACATCTCCTCTTCACACCGGTGAGCCTGATCTCCATCCTTTCCAACTACCTTTTGGTTTGCCGCGAGAGATCCAAAAATCCCCATTTCCATTTTTTTTTCTTTTCTTCTCTTACCCGAAACCATGGATGTAGATGGGGTGAGAAACCATGGACGTAGATGGGGTGCGTTCAAATCTAGATAAAATCTAAATCTCTTAAATGTGGGGATATTGATTTGTAGAAGTAAACAAGTGGATTGTTTATGATTTTCAAAACATGAAATGGTGTGGATCTAATGAGATTTCACTTGGATTTTCACTTGTATGCAGAAATGTCGATTCATATTTGTAAGCAAATGGATTTCTTGTGATTTGAAATCATTCGGGAGACGTGCTAATTATCTAGTGTGGTCTCTTTTATCGTTGAAGGACGATAAGGTGAGCTTGTGACATTGCGTTCTCCCACTCACTTTGTGTTACTTATTGTGAAGCGAATCCGAGCAAGATCTCAACCCGTCTGACCCCTTTCTGAAGGTATATGTTTCGTTTGCATTTTTTTTTTGCTCGGAGTATTTATTTGGGTACTTTGCATACCTCACCTGCTATTTGTTGCTTTCCCGTTGTTTTGTTGCAAGATTCACCAGAAAGCGGACCTCACTGATTCCCCTCCTTGCCCTCATTGGGTCTTTCTGTTGATCTATGCATGTTCTGTGAGGCACACTGGAGCGTTGATCGGATGTCGGCGAGCTTGGAGCAAGTAAAGAGAACGCGTCTGCAACCGTCACGGTGGTGAGATCCCCTAAACTTCTAGCTAGCCTTTCGCCCACACGGGGTTGGTGCGCCGGCATGGGTCGGCGCGACGACGTGTCTGCGTGATGGATCGTCAATTTTCTAGAGCTAGCCTTTAGGTTAGGACTTTCTGTGCGTAACCAGACACCCCCCGTAGAGCCGAGTGTCTCCCTTTTATTGTGAGCCTTAGCACAAGTCCTGATGGGTTAAAGTCTCTCACTCCCCTTGCTTTGGGTTTCCCAAGCTTTACTTGAAGAAGCTAGGAGGTCGGACTTGGCAAAGAGAGAGAAGCTTTGTAGCTGGCTCGCTTTGCAAATTCTGGAGGAGTGGAGAGTTTCCCTCTCGGAGATCCGGAGAGAAACTCCCCACATTTCCTCACCAAAACAAGAGGCGGCGACGCCGCATTTCCAAGGGAATCTTTAGGTTTCCTAGGTGAGGTCATTAGTACGAGTGTGGCTCGCTATCATGTGTGGTCATTTACACCTCATTGTTTGCATATGAGTGTCTTGCATCGTTACATATCGTGTGTCATATATCACACTTTCCCTTGCACTTGCACCTTGCACCTTGCACCTTGCACTTGCACGTTGCACTTGCACTTGCAACTTATATCTTACACTTGCACCTTGCACCTTGCACCTTGCACCTTGCACTTGCACGTTGCACTTGCACGTGCATCTTATATCTTGCACTTGCACCTGCACCGACACCACTTGTGCCTTGATCGGTTATCCCAAACCGGTCACATTACTTGTGTTTCAGCCGGCTACCCCGATCCGATTCACACAATACTTTGGTTTGACCGGATGCTCCATCCCAATCGACCTACCACTTGCTCCATTGCATGTTGTGTATGTGCATGTACATGTTTGTTTGCATGATCGATATCATCTCCTTGAGCATTCTTTCGGGTCACTGTCTTACCGGCATACCCTCTTTTCGGGCCCCTGCCGCTACGACATGCCTACCTTCGGGTCATTGCCTTACCAACATACTCTCTTTTTGGGTTGCTGCTGCCACGACATGCCCATTCCTTTGGGGTCATTCTCTTACCAGCATACCCTCTTCTCGGGCCGCTGCCGCCACGACATGCCCATTCCTTCAGGTCACTACCTTACCGACCTACCCTCTTTTCGGGCCGCTTCCGCCATGGCATACTCATTCCTTCGGGTCACTACCTTACCGGCATACCCTCTTTTTGGGCCCCTAGCCGTCACAACATGCCCACCTATGCCCATTCCTACCATGCCCACCTTTTTCTGAGTCACTGCCTCACGGTACACTCATCACTTCTGTCTTTGATTTACCTGCATTAGCATTTGCATTTGCATGATTGCATGGATAGTGAGCCGGGCTCGTTAGGAGAGTGATCCTGTGTTGGTCGCGATGCCTTAACGAACATTGCTTACTGGGTTGATCCTAGTGAGCAATGCGAGTTAAGTCATCGAGATTGACACGAGTATGACTGTGCTAAAGATCAAATAGATTTAACTCATATCACCATTCTTCATGACACCCTTTAGATCCGTTGGATCCTTAGGATGGGGTCGGTATGACGACCCTGTCAAAGTCATATTATACCTAGACTTACCCCCCACTTAGATACTAAGTTGATGCACTTTTCGTTAGATGGTGTGCTAGGCTAGGATTTAGAGTGCTAGATAGTCTTTTTGATGTCTGGCTATTGTTCTCTGTTGGATTGGTTGCTCTAGCCAGGTATCTTTCTTTTGCATTATGCTTGTGGAGTGTGTACATGTTGCATATGTGTGGTAGTGTGTTAGGGCATTCTTCTGCAGGGAGTCATGCCTATTTTCATAATCGCACACAGGTACCGCTATGGGGGGATCAAGTAATGATTTCTGACCCTTTTGCTTGCAGGTGCTATTAGCTCCCCCACTTTTAAGGCATGGCTCATGATACGTTATGTGCCTG